TGCGCAGGCTGTACGGAAGTCTCATGGAGGAGATTTTGGTTTTGTCAGATACTGTCAAGACAAAGAAGGTGCTCCACTCGAAATGCGGCGCCGCATTGTCCAACCTGCTCAACCTGCTTTCAATCAGCGAGTTCATCAAGATCGTGGAGAACCTACTCGGCCGTGACAACTTGGGTCTCCGTCACAAGGTCCTGCGTGCCTTGGAAGGAAGAGTGGAAAAGGAGAGCAACACAGAACCATCCTCCAGAGCTGCTCTGCTAGCATTCTTGCCCCAGCTCACTGCCGCTATCCGAGAGTCAAGCGACGTACGGTACAAGCTGACGGCTGTGACTTGCGTCGACAAGATTGCAGAGAAGTATGGCAAGAAGGACATTGAGGGTGTGGTAGCTGCTGCTCAGACCATTGCCGGCGAGCACTGTCTTGGACAGGAGGACAAGCGCTTACGCATCATGGCACTCCTGTGCTTGACGTCGTTAGTTGATGTGCTACAGGAAGCCGTTGTGCCCGTTTTGCCACTTGCGATCCCACGTGCCGTCGAGTACCTCGAGAACAGCATCAATGGGGATGAACCCGACGGTGAACTACATACGGCATGCTATGGTCTTCTGAGCTCACTAGCTGAGCACCTTCCATTCATGTTGTCGACTTACCTAGATAAGATCCTGCTGATTTCGAATATGTCTGCGGAGGCTGGCCTCGGAAGCGAGGTTGATGAGAGCCGTGCAAACTGCCTCGAATTCTTTGCTAAACGTCTCGATGCCAAGGATATCTTTGCTGCTGTGGATAGGAACTGGGACAGGGCTGTTCTGGCTGGTTTTACGGTAAGATATATTTCAACCCGCCCCTTGAGGCAATCTCGCACTTAATCATGGATGACGGCCACTAATATTTTTAATCTACAGGCTGTTGCAGAGAATGTCAACATTTTGGGTATGGCCATTGACAAGCATTCCAAGACAAACATCACGAAGAATGCAACATTGCTGGCTGGCATCTTTATGAAGGCATTTGATCTTCGCCGACAAAAGTACCATGCAAGTGCTGCACCGGCAGTCCTGGATGAGATTGCCCAAATTGAGGGCAGTGTGAACGAGAGGGCACTCAAAATGATCTTCAAGCTCAATGATGCTTCTTTCAGACCAGTGTTTGGGCAGTTCATTGAGTGGGCCAACTCTGGGCTGGCCAAGAGTGACAAGACTGGGAAGGTCCTCCGCCAGTACAGCGTTTACGGGTTCCTCGGGCACTTCTTTGAGAGCCTCAAGTCGATCGTGACCAACTACGCCACCTACATGCTAGATGACGCCGTGGCTATCCTGAAGACGCTGAACCCCAAGGTCAAGGAGGAGAAAGAGCTCTGGGCTCGTGTGCTGGCAACATTGGTCAAGAGCTTCGAGCACGATCAGGATGACTTCTGGCAGGCTCCTTCCCACTTTGGGGTCTTGGCTCCGGTGTTGATGGAGCAGTTTACACACGCGCCATTAATTGACGTGGTGGCTGACCTGGTCCCGACTGTGGTGGAGCTCGCGGCGGCCGCGGACTCTCAGGCGCACCAGAAGGAGCTCAACTCGGCGCTGCTCCAGCATCTGAAGTCAGAGCAGAAGGCGGTGCGGCTGGCGGCAGTCATGTGCGAGCAGGAACTCACAGACCGTCTTGGAGAGGAGTGGCTGTCCATGCTGCATGAGATGCTGCCCAGGATCAGCGAGCTACAGGAGGACGACGACGAAGAGGTGGAGAGGGAAACACATAGATGGATTGTCAAGATTGAGGGCGTGCTGGGCGAGAGCTTGGATTCTATGCTCCAGTGAGGGGAATGTAAATAAAAAGGCGATTAGAGCTACTAGCGTACAGGGAGATACTGTTAACTGCTACATCGATTAATGTGCATCATGGTCATTCAGACGAGAAGAAATTACAGGTGACTCAGACCAGCCTCGTTTCTTACCCACCGTTGGAAAAGATGTCCCTGCTCAGCAGACCATCACATCCGAGCTCTGATTCGCCAATGGCTGCTCGTGTGAGATGCTGAGATGAGAGATCCCACCCATAGGGAAAACACGGAAGCGGGCTCATCGGAAGCGCCTTTCAGGTGGGACAAGCCCGACTTCCCGCGAGTTGGAGCCTCTTACAGGGGGATCGATGCTCGGTTCCAGTGGGCCGGCAGCCCTGCTAGATCGCTACAAGCCTAGCGCTCGGCACTGCGATTCGCTGCGAGATCCAGGTGCGTCACCGCCCCCGGCGAGATGCCCGCCTCGACAATCTCGTCCCGTCAAGCCTTGTTGCACTAGGAATCTTACATGAGCCCGAGATGACGGGGGGGGCGAGAAAAAAATGAACGATTTATTCCGCCGTCTCCCTCGTGGAAGAATGGAAAGGGTGGACGGATGGATGGGCGGGCATCAGGAAGAACGGAGTCCGTTAGACCATCACCATGAGTCTGGAATGACATCACATCACCACAACTAGCAACGACTTTCACGAGCGGTATCTTGGTTCATATCACGAGGCCTGGGAGCCAGGTTGATACCTCTTCACATAATTTGTTTCAAACTGGTCTTCAAGGTGACTGAAAAATAACAATGGGTGAGTGTCTGCAACTTGGTACTCGGACAGCTCTAGCCACTCGGCGAGCTCTCTCCGCCAACGCAACCACTTCACATCTCACTCGACAACTTGGCAATACTCTTATATGCCATGGCGATGCAAAGAGAGCCCGCTCAAGGGGAGTGAGGACATACACCAGCACCACCTCGGAGAAAAAGGAGCGAGTCGTCATCCTCGGCAGCGGCTGGGCGGGCTACGCCCTCGCCCGCTCCCTCTCCCCAAACAAGACGGACCGCGTCCTCATCTCCCCGCGCTCCTACTTCGTCTTCACCCCGCTCCTCGCCTCCGCCTCGGTCGGGACCATCGAGTTCCGCGCCGCCATCGAGCCCGTCCGCCGCCTGGGGCTGACCGACTACCACCAGGCGTGGGCGTCCGACATCGACTTCGCCCGCAAGACGATCCGGCTCGAGGCCACCCGCCGCGACGACCGCGCCACTAGGTCCGAGGCCGGGCCCATCCCCTCGGGGAAGGAGTTCGAGGTCGGGTACGACAAGCTCGTCATCGCGGTGGGGTGCCACAGCCAGACGTTTGGCGTTGAGGGCGTCAAGGAGCACGCCTGTTTTCTTCGCGACGTGGGTGATAGCAGGCTGATTAGATTGAAGGTGCTGAAGGCGTTCGAGGGGGCGGCTTTACCCAGCACATCAGAAGAGGACAAGAAGAAGCTTCTGCATTTCGCCGTCGTGGGCGGGGGTCCGACTGGAATCGAGTTCGCGGCAGAGCTATTTGATCTGGTGCACGAGGATCTTTCCAAAATGTACCCGGCGCTGATGAAGTATGTTAATATCACCATCTACGACATCGCGCCCAAGGTGCTGCCCATGTTTGACAAGAACCTGGCCAACTATGCGATCGAGATGTTCCATCGGCAGGGGATCAAAGTCAAGACTGAGCATCACCTGCAGCGGATCCGGCGGGTGGATGATCATCTCATGCTCAAGATCAAAGAGGAGCCTGAGGAGGTGGGTGCCGGCATTGTGGTATGGAGCACGGGTCTGAAACAGAACCCGCTCGTCGAGAAGCTGGTCGGACAGGAAATTGAGGGTTTCGGCAAGATCCTCAAGGACTCAAAGACTGGCGGCATCATTGTCGATGAGCATATGCGCGTGCAGACCGAGTTTGGCAGCAACGGGAACAAGGAGAAGCTCACCCTCCCCGACGTCTTCGCCATCGGAGACTGCAGCGTCGTGGAGGGCGAAGGGTTCCCCAACACTGCCCAGGTAGCTTCGCAGCAGGCTGTTTATCTAGGACGCCAGCTGAACAAGGGGATCGACGAGAACAAGCCCTTCAGGTTCCGCAACTGGGGCACCATGGCGTATCTGGGCAGCTGGCGGGCCATCCACCAGAGCGCAAGCGATGAGCTGAAGGGAAAAGCGGCTTGGATACTATGGAGGACGGCGTACCTCACCAAGTCTATGAGCATACGGAACAAGCTGTTGATTCCGGTCTACTGGGCAATTACGTGGATATTTGGAAGAGACATCTCCCGGTTCTAAGGGGAGATGATCGCAGTGGATAGCACTGGTAGAAGGACGTCGATGAAATTGTACATTTGTAGTTTTAGATGTTGACATAGAGCGGCCTAAAGGTTAGTGTGGGTTTCTTTTCCCCTTCGTGTATGATTATGGCGGATGATATAGATAGCATAGTTACAATAGCTTCATTACCGAGATATGCGAACACAGAAATAGACTGGTTTTAAAGGAATGCACTCGCAAACTAAATTAATTCTTCCTGAAACGTTGAATGCACAACGCAAAGCATTCTTGTTCGTTTCAAACGTGAGTTTCTGTGTTTGCGAAGGTTGATGATTCTCTTGATCATGCTTTGTCGGTCACAGATATTTTGGTTTGCATCACCCCGTTACAAACGCGAAGAGGGGCAACTGCTACCGACACATCCCAGCCAGGAGTCTTATTTGTTTTTTCACCCAGTTGCTTGAATTGGTTTATCCTCTGAAGCAAGCAAGTGAAATCAAGCGTTGCATATCCCACGGCCTCTCCCAGCCTCTAAACTAGAGATGATGTAGAATGCATGAAACCAATCCTGGTGTTTGAGGTCGGAGTCTCTAAGCTCCTTTATGAAAAACAATGAAATGTCAGACTCGTGATTGTTTTCAAGGAGGTAATTGTTCAGAAACATGTTGCTCGTCTCAGCTGTCCACGTTATCAATCAACTTCACAGACGATGCAAGACAAAATCAACTTTAAAGAAGGTGCAAGACTAGGATTACGTGATGTATTGGTTTTACTACTGAAATTCAAGTATAAATATCATGTTATTCGCCAGCTCGCCCTTGGATAAACACCTTTCCACATCTGCAACCGATATCAGGCTATCTCGTCACAACTTGAGCGCTCTGCGATTCTTATCCAATACATCCATCTTCTACCCGGCACGCTATGGCTTCGTCAAGCGATGGTCCCGAGTTTTATCTTAGCGCCATCGAGATGTTTCGGCGCCTGGACGCACAAACCAGCGGCAGAAAAACGTTCTGTGTGCTGCCATGGTGTGTTTATTGCGGATATGATTTCATGCTTGGTGATCGAATCTTAAATCATAGGGACGGTAAGCTGAAGACTTCTTCCAATGCACTACTATGTGTACTCTTGTCTCTGTACTAACTGCATGGCATGAAGAAGGGAGCACAACCTGGGTGGTAACAAGTCTTTCTCTCACCTTGAGCCACAAGCCAAATTGGAAGGTTGAATGTCAGCCGCCGCGTGGTGAAGTTGCCAAGGGGCAAAGTTTTTGCGCATGCGGTCTCCGTCAAGCCGCCGCGTGCGAGTACAGTGGCTTTGGCTCCCACGCGTGCCACAGAGCTTGTCAAGATATAGTGAAACCAGGTATGATTGGTGGTCAATTTCTTACCATGGTCGATTACTACAAGGTCAGACGGCCTTCTTTCAGGCCTACCGCGTCAGAGAGTCAACGGAGACGTGCATTCCTGGAAGAAGAGCTTGTTTCACTGCTTGCTGACTGCATCCCGAAACTACCCGCGGAACTGCTATATCAAATAGCGGGTTATGCGTCGTCCGAGTATGCCACTACTCATCTCATAACACAGATGGCCAAACATGAGCCTCGGAATACAGTATTCGACTTAAGAAAGAACATCTGGGCTGAATACGTCGACTTTGAGGGTCAAACGTACATCCGGGCGCTCTCCAACACGAATTTCGACATCCTGGACGGAGTGTTCAAGGGCACCTGGAAGCTCATATTCAGTGAAAAGCAATACCACAGTACACAGATAATTTTGATCGAAATGTCTACCCTTGGGATCCGAAGGATTATATTCACGGATGATTCCTCCAGGCCCGAGATTGAAGAAAAGCCGGACATTTGGTGGCAAGTGATGAGCTTTCGAGGCGGGCCACTTATCGTTGCAGAGACAGATGTACGTATTTCCTCAACCCCTGTTCCAGGTCCTGTTCCAGGTTGCCTTGTCTTGACATAGCTTTCAGGGTGTGAAACTACGCTGCTTAACCTTCGAGGCTGAGAGGTTCAAGCGTGTGAGCACTCGTCCCAGTCCAAATGTCATGTGGCCCACGCCAGCCAGATATGATCACCACGAGCTGTTATCTGTAAACTCTCAACAAACTCCGACACCGAGATCACATCTCCGCAGACAGCCACGGCGAATGGATTCTGTTGACCTTCGAAGTCCCGATATACTTGGACTCTCATTCGCAATCTACAATGGCAGGAACCCGCACAATAGCCGTCCCATCGCAAATATCCATGCACACTTGCCAGGAGAAAATCACAGCTTCTATCGTGAGGTTGAGAAGAAAGCCCCGGATCGTATAACATGGCTCTATATCCCCTTGGAGTCACAGGAGGTCATCACTGAGATTTGGGGGGAAAACGCAAGCGAAAGGCCTCCAAATCCAGGACGGCGGGAGTCGCCATGGCAATGCTGGCAACTTCTTGTAAGATTATTCTCTATCCCACCTCTTCTGCTCTACACTATATCTAACCTCCAAAAACATAGCTCAAAACAAGTAAGGGTCGCTCTTACCATATCGGATCGGTGAAGCATGACCCAAATCCGCAGTGGAAGCTGGTCCATGCCTCAAGTCAAGGCCTGAAGCGGATGTTTTTCGAACATACTGACGACACAACACTCGATACATGGAGTCTTGGATTCGACCGTAGCGATGCTGTGCATGCGACAACCAGGGCTAATGAGACCCAGTCGCAGGTTCATCCAGCATTGCATTGGGCTCATTCGCTTCATATAGATCCAGGGCCGAATTGCTCCTCCGCGGTGCTCGACGGCGTCATTGAAGTTACGCAATGCCTACGGATAGCCAACAGTCGCAGGTCGCCTGGCATCGGGAGGTACACCTCGGGGCTTTTACTGCGCTATCACGATGGGCACGTGGAGAGACTCGGAGAAGCCCGTCTCGACCTCACGGAAAGCCGCAAAGTTCTCCCAACAGATGTCATCCGCTTCATCTTCCAGAGTAATCAGGTCAAATTCTGCCTGGTCGGCCCACCCCAGGAAAACAATGACCCAAACGCGGCAAATGTCGAGATACCCATGCGTGGAACTCTGCACTGGTGCTTTCGTGAGGAGGAGGTTTTGCTCAGGCACAACGAGCAGAGAATTTCCGCAAGGAATTACCCAACGTTTGAATAAGGAGGAACAATTTGGTTTCCCCAGCCAATACAAGAATGGCGTGGCTCTAGGGAACAAAACTAGTATGGAGAGAAAGAATAGGCCACTTAGCGATATCACAAGCTTGCCAACGCTTCAAAGGTGGGGAAGTTCATCCTTCATCTTCAAGCTCATCAGCTGGAGGCCGAAAGCCCATAGATGAGAGATTTCTGTCTGTAGTGTCATTAAATGTGAGAACTTTCCGCTTATTAAATGGCAATTATGTCCGGAGGCTGGACGTTAGTTACGATTATCAAAAATATCGTCTTACGTTGATAATATACCTCATTTGGGTAGAGCAATAACCTAATTCCGACCATCGGCCATCTTTTGCTAAAATTATGCCTCCTAGCTCTTCCCTCACCTTTAAAAATTCGTTGACAGAAAAACGGCGAAAAATAATTGAACAGCAGTGAAGGCTTCGATTGCTCGTCCATCAATCAGGCCAATCCTCGTTCCAGAGCCGGAGACAGAACAGGTCTCGGGAGAGAAGTGAGGGGTGACAGTGAGGTGCCACCCAAACCTCATACCAGCGCCGGAAGAACAAGCACTCGAGGAGACAAAGCATACAACATGACGGCACCAGTCGATTACAGCACATATCTGGTCACTGACTCAACGCCAGGAATCTTGGGGGACCGGGACCTCTGCCAAGTCGTCGAGGCTGCACTACAGGGTGGTGTTACCATCGTCCAGTACAGAGACAAGCACTCATCAAGAGACGTCGTCGTCGAGACTGCCAAGAAGCTCCATGATATCTGCAAACGATTCCAGGTCCCGTTTCTGATCAACGACCAAGTTGACGTTGCTGCAGAGATTGGCTGCGATGGTGTAAGTTGTCCGTTCCAGAGCTGAAGCAACATATCGACTGATAAAATTATCAAGGCACACATAGGCCAGGATGACTTGGGTTCGTTTTTCATGTCACAAGAATCTGAATTAGACCTATACACTAACTAGGTGACATGCGGCAACAGGCATCAAGCAAGCCAGAGAACTCCTCGGCCCCAACAAAATCATCGGCGTGACGGCCAGCTCCGTCGAGGAGGCCCTCCAAGCAGCCAAAGCCGGCGCGGACTACCTGGGAATCGGGACCGTGTACTCTACCCAGACCAAGAAGGACACAAAGTCCATCATCGGACCCAGCGGCGTGCGGACGATCCTCTCGCAGCTGGCTGCCAGCGGCCACGGCGCCATCTCCACCGTCTGCATCGGCGGCATCAACATCTCCAACACGCAGCAGGTCATGACGCAGAGCAGCGCGCCGGCCAAGAGCCTGGACGGCGTCGCCGTGGTGAGCGCCATCATCGCCGCCGCCGACCCTGCCGCGGCCGCTGGAGAGCTGAGCTCGAAGGTCCTCACAGCCAAGGTCCCGGATGTCATCCAAGCAGTAGCCAGGAAGACGCCGTTGTCCCATAACATGACCAACCTTGTCGGTATCCCCTTTCCCCAAATACAACGACTGAATTACTAACCTATCTGCAGGTCGTCCAGAACTTCGCCGCCAATGTCGGCCTCGCAGTCGGCGCAAGCCCCATCATGGCAAACTACGCCGAGGAGGCCGCCGACCTGGCCAAGCTGGGAGGCTCCCTCGTCATCAACATGGGCACCGTCACCCCGGACGGCCTCAAGAACTACGTCCAGGCACTCGAGGCCTACAACGCCGCAGGCGGGCCAGTCCTCCTCGACCCCGTCGGGTACGTTCCTACATCCATTCCCAAACCTCCATTCCTCCTCCCCCCATGCTAACACAATCCCCAAACAGTGCCGGAGCCACCGCCGTCCGCCGCTCAGCAGTAAAGACCCTCCTCGCCGCCGGCTCCTTCGCCGTCATCAAAGGCAACGAGGGCGAGATCCAGACCCTCCACGGCAGCACCGTCACCCAGCGCGGCGTCGACTCCGACTCCACCCTCTCCCTCGCCCAGCGCGCCTCCGTCGTGCAGTCCGTCGCCCGCGCCCACGGCTCCGTCGTCCTCATGACGGGCGTCACCGACATCCTCAGCGACGGCCGCCGCACCTTCCGCGTCGACAACGGCCACGAGCTGCTCGCCCAGGTCACGGGGACGGGGTGCACCCTCGGCACCACCATCAGCGCCATGATCGCCGCCTACCCGCACGACACCCTCGTGGCCGCCGTGGCCGGCACCGCCATGTTCGGGGTCGCGGCCGAGCTGGCTGCGGGTAGGGCCGAGGTGCGAGGTCCGGGGACCTTTGTTCCCGCTTTCATCGACGAGCTGTACGGCGTCAGGAAGGCGACGGCAGAGAATGACTCTCGCTGGCTGTCGCTCGTCAAAATTTCTCGCATCTGACCTTCTTATTCAAGTCTGGTCTTGGGAGATGTTGGATGACAGGGTGGTGTCTCGTTGTTGTCAACATCCAAGATATATACAGTTACCCTAAAGCCACATACGAACATATTCGAGTGCCCTTCACAAGGCTGTTTTTGCCGATATTCTAGCTCCTAAAAATACCGTAAACACAAACTCAATTGATAAGTAGACATTTTACATTCACTGTACAATTATAATGGTAGGGGAACTGTCGATGAGGTGGAAAAGAGTAAGCAAATATTGCATTCATCATGGGCCCATTTGAGCTTGTTCAAAATGAGTCGGCCAGCGGATAAGCAAGATATCTATCCAAAATGAAAACAAAAGATGAGGTCCCGTCACTCAAGATCTGGTGCTCATACGAAAGTAACTAGAGTTAGATGCGTGCGTGCGCTCGCTCAATGCTCACATGTCTAGATTGCAACGGCTGGGCCGTCAATGTTACAAGACGACCGTTTTCGCTGAATTCAAAAGACAGGTCCCCTGAGGGGGAAAGCAGATCTGTTGCCACTTAGGCTGCGGCAACACGGCCAACAGCCCCGCGCAGCTCATCCCGCTCCAAAAGGGCCTCGGTAACACTTTGGATGCCACCAGTGGCCATGATCTCCTTGGTGGCCTGTTCGACCCCAAGCTGCTTGTCGTTCCACAGAGGTGACTCCTCCTGGGCCTTTGACTCGCCTACCCCGATGAACCCACCTTCGGCAGCCCAATCAGAGGTGCGCTTGATTCCAAGTCGGGTCCAGATCTCATCCAGGGCCTCGGCTAGTTCATCGCGATACAGCTTGACATGGCCTGGTGTAGGGGTGATCCTGAGTCGCTCCTGGCCGACAGGGACGGTGGGGTAATTGATTGACTGCACATAGATGCCGTAGTCCTGTAGAAGCATGTCCGAGGCCGATTTGGCTAGTTCAGCATTGCCTACAAGGAGCGGCACGATGTGAGATGGGTTCGGGATGACCGGGATGTCTCGGCTGTTGAGCTCCTCCTTGACGGCGCGAGTGTGCAACTGCTGCAGTTTGCGGTCACCGTCGTACGCCATCTGGTACTCAATCGAGGCCTTTGCACCAGCCATTGTGGCCGGAGGGAGCGAGGTCGTGAAGATGAAGCCAGGAGCCAGCGAGCGAATCATGTCGACTAGCTTGGCACTGCCGGCAATGTAGCCACCAACACAACCATACGCCTTGCCCAGGGTGCCCGTGATAATATCAACCCGGTCCATGATGGTGCCGCGGGGCATTCCCTCGTGATGCGCCTCCCAATCCAGATGCTCCGCCACACCAGCCCCGTGCGGTCCGTACATGCCTACTGCATGCACCTCGTCAAGGAAAGTAATGGCGCCGTACTTGTCAGCAAGATCGCAGATGGCTTCGATTGGTCCAATTGAGCCACACATGCTGTACACGGACTCGAATGCGATAATTTTAGGCACATGCAGCGGCAGGGATGCGAGCTTCGCCTCTAGATCCGCTACATCATTGTGCTTGAAAACAATCTTCTTGGTCCCGGAATGTCGGATACCCTGGATCATGGATGCATGGTTCAGGCTGTCAGAAAGAATGACACAATCGGGCATTTTGCTCCCGAGAGTCGCGAGTGTCGCATCATTGGCGACGTAGCACGAACTGAAGACAAGAGCTGCCTCCTTGGCATGCAGTTTGGCCAGTGTTCCCTCCAGCTCAACGGCGTGCTTGTTGTGTCCAGAAATGTTCCTGGTGCCACCAGCCCCAGCGCCGTACTCCTCCAGGGTCTGGTGCATGGTCTCGAGGACTCGTGGGTTCCGTCCCATACCGAGATAGTCGTTCGCGCACCAGACAGTCACTCGTTCATCCTTGTTCGACATGTGGGCGCGGGGAAACTCTTTGGCGAGACGATTGATGTTATTGAAGTAGCGGTACGACTTGTCCTTGTGTTTCTTGTCCAGCTCATGATCGTAAAAGGCATTGTAGTCAAACGTGGAAGCCGAGGTGCAGGCATCAGCAGAGGCAAGAGGAGACGCCTTGCGGGCCTGGGCGAACATGCTCGGAGGAGGGATTGGGGCTACCAATTGGGAGTTAGCATGGCCAAATAACAGAATTGGAAAGGCAGAAGAAGCCTCACCTTTGTCGCGTCCCTGGAGGACAGGCGAATCGACGGCCCTGGCCTCCTGGTTGCGGCTGGTGTGGATTTTGGCTCTGCCAGCCTTGGACTGGCCAGAGAAGGACCGGAAAGCAGCGGCAGAACCACCATACTTGGCGGTTTGAACAGCCATAGCCTTGCCCATGACGGGGCATCGGTGGGCGAGCAGCTGCAGGTTGGACATTGTGCTGCCGCATGGCGAGGACGCCTTGGGGCGGGCCGAGGTGGACAGGGCACGAAGGGTCGAAGGCGAGGCCGATTTCAAGAACGGGCACATGGCCTTGGACTGGCGAAGAACAGCGTCCATGGCGGTGGAGGGTCAATGGGTCTGGGCGGGATGTAGAGGTGTGTTTGGTGAGGGTTGTAGCAACGGGAAATTTTTCTCGTCGGTCCTCTGGGCTCTTCTTAAAAAGCGGCGAGTGGGAAGCGCAGGTGGCGGCCAGCGGCGTTCATAGTGCTTGCCCGTCGGGGTGCTTCGGCTTGTCTCGCAGACCCCATTTGACTCAGCTCCCTCCGTTTTCTCGGAGCCCCACAGCCCGCTAAGCCGCCCACTGAGTCGAGGCACACCGCAGCTGCCTCCAGGGGCACCAGCGCTCGCGGAAAAGTAATTGCCTGCGCCCTGATTGGCCCAGCCAGGTGCGCCCGCTCCTCGGCATGTACACATGCATGTACCTGCCTCCGGTTTTTGATGCATGTATAAGCCCCTCTTCTTCGGCTTGGGCTTTTCTTTCCCCATTGGGCCTTTAAGGACAAGTGCCAAACGTCCATTTTGTCCCACATTTTAAATCATAGACCACTAGCCTCCTCTAGACGAGTTTAGTTGAGTACATGTTGACAACTCGTACGAGCCAACCGCCTCGCAGACATACCTTACACACTCACGGCACTTCATCTCCAGACAGTCTTCCCCCATGCCGATGGGCTTGCATCCTTAGCCGGAGTCTGGAGAACTTGCATTTATGTCATCCTAGGTACCTTAGTTTGCCATCAATTCTGCAGGAATTATCATTGTATTGGCTGCCGCCGTAACCGCCGAGGAGACCAGCCCTGTTATTGACAACAGCCCAGTATTAGACCAAACGCCACTGAATCCCTCATCTGCTCTCTCCCGTGGTGTCCTTAACAGATTCATGGGTATCCTTAACATATGTAAACATGGGCATAAATCCCGAATTCAACCAAACTCCCCTGACCTCCCCTTTTAGGGTTCCGTCCATATGCCATTTCCCTTTAAATCGTACCAGTATACTCCGTATGCCCTGGTTATTACCGCCTCATTCGCCGAGATCTGCTCCCCCATTTAGCCTTGCTGTGATGATGGCTCCGTGTTGCCAGATGGCGAGTCATTAGCTAAAGATGGCGTACGGACTGCTTTTCTTCTGTTGTCAGCTGCTTCTCTCATGATTTTGATGTCCCTCCCCGCCACGCCTTCCAGCTTCTTCTGTGGGGTCCCTCGGGAGATATTTCGAAGATTCTAAACAATGTTAACGGCTGTTCTCATCTTAAATAATCGTTGGACTTTAATACCTGCGGGTCTGGTGTCTTTGTACTTCTCTCCATTTGGGTTGCAAACTCAGCCTCAGAAAGTTTGCTCAGTGTATCTACTCGGCGCTCGAGCTCGTTCTTAACGGCCAAAGCAAGGAATTTGCAGCTGAGCTGTCCAGAAAGGGTCGCCAAAACAAATCGATCATTCGCAAGCAGTCTCTTAAGTTGCCTCCAATGCTGATCATCGGGAAGAAATCCATAACCTTCTTTGTCCCGAAACTCGTGAATGGAGCTGCATATTGATTCGGCTGACAGAAGTCTCGATGTTGGCAGCATTCCTCTGGCATGAAGACTGTTGGTCGCTTCGATCAGCGCCGCCTGAAATGCTTCCTTAGCCAAGGTCTTTGGGGGTTGAGCGAAGAGATTCTCTGGCGGGCCTGACGAGACCCTCCCAATGTGACTCTGAGCCTTCTGGCTAGTTGGAACTTCTGAGCGTGAGGGGACTTGTGACCTGCCAATGGAGGTATTAGCTCCTAAAATTGGCTTTGGTACAGGGGCTGGGCCGTGAATTGGCATCCCATTTGTCGATTGCTGAGGAGCGTTCTTTGAAATGTTAGAAAATTGAATCTGTGCATGAGGGAGGTTAAAACAGAGGCGCAAATTCATACCTGATTAGGAACTATGGGGACAGCCGGTGATCCTGTACTCTGTCCTGTTTGATTCTGGTTTACAAGGGGCTCCTGGGGCTGCCGGCTCAAATGATGGTCGCCTTTGGCATCTCCACGAGCTTGTGTTCCACGGAGTTGAGGAGCTACACTTTGCGGCTGGCTGTTACTGAAATGCTGAGTTCTGCCTACTGGCTGTGAGCTGCTCATGCGACCAGGGTCGCCTTGAAGTTGCGTGCTTGGCTGTCCGCTCCAAGGTTGTGTGCTATAAGGTTGTTGCGTTAGATAAATGGCTTGCTGTTCGCTCCTTCGCTTTTCGTATTCCGCTGGGTTTGTTTGTCGGAGGCGATTCATGGAAACCATGGAGTCAGCTTCTTTACGTTCCTCATCGCTCAACACCACAACGGTATCTTCCTCCTCGAAAGTATCGGCGGACACAATTTTGCACACCGGTCCATCGGGGATAGAGGGAACTTGGTGGCTTATTAGGCAGTCCAAGATGGTGTCCTGACCTTGGAATTCCGCTAGAGACTTCCGTTCAACGGGTTTAATGGCGTGAATCAATTCCGCCCGTCTAGCTGACCAGTTGATGGGGTTTTTCTTGTCCACGACCCGCTGTGCCAACTGCTGTTTGAAAATAGCTTTGTTGTGCAGGTTATCCTCAAACGTCCCGGCCACAATGAAATGGTATACAAATACCTTCTTCTTCTGGCCCAGACGGTAGGCGCGGCCAACCGCTTGTTGGCTGTCAACAGGGTTCCACTTTGCATCGAACAGGACCACTCGGTTGGCTCCTTGGATATTCAAGCCAACCCCGCCCGCTTTGGTGGAAATCAAGTACAACTCCTTATCACTCTCATTGAAGGCTTTGGTAGCACCTTGCCGGGCTTTGGGGTTGGTTTTTCCATCCAATCTGCTAAAGCGACGCTTAGTCAGTTGGAAAAGGCTTCCGAGGTAGTTCAACGTGGGGATGGATTGGCTGAAAATCAGCACCTTGTCGCCGACGGCACGGGCTTGGTCGAGTATGATGTTCAGAAGTTCGACTTTCATCGAGAGGTCAGGGTTGATGTTATCGCCGCTATTTGTTTCCTTCAATGCGAACGGCACGATGGCTTTGGGGAAAGTCTTGTAGCTCTCGCTTTCATTCTTGGTATCGTAATCGCCATTCTTCACCTTAAGAACCTTCTCTCTAAAACAGCGAGGATGGTTGCATATGAGGCCCAAATCGTCAATAGTGCTGAATATTGGAAACGAATCGCATGAACCATGTTGTTCTTCGAGGTACTTGTTGTACAGCTTGCATTGTAGCGGCGTCGGCGCAACATATATGACATACTCTGTCTTTGGGGGAAGATCCTCAGCGAGACAGGATTTGACCGTCGCTCTATTGATTATGGGTGCTACAGTCTCCTTTAACACCTGTAGCATTTTCATGGCTCTTTTCTTTTGATATGTGTCGCTGTCTTTGTAAAGCCCCTCTTCAATGACCCTGCCGTAAATGTCCCGAAACTCGTCGATCGGTCCAAGGAAGTTGGGTGCAACCCAATTGATCATGTAATAGTACTCTTCCACGTTGTTTGCAAGGGGCGACCCTGTCAAGGCAATGCGGCTGGTTGTGTTGAAATTGGCACATGCTTTGCTCAGCTTGGTCTCTTGATTCTTCAATTTGTGTGCTTCATCAGCGACGACGATGTTCGGCTTTGACCGTAGAATCGTCCGTATTTCCGAGTTGGAGTCGTGCATGTTCTTGAAAAGGTCGTAACCAATGACGAGAACGCCTCCGTTTGCAGCCCAGCTTTCAACAATGCCCTGACGATCTCTTTCGGCAACCGTCGAATCAACTTGCATGAAAGGCTCTAACAGCCCAGATGGAGCCCACGTTAAGAGTTCGTCCATCCAGTTGTTTACGAGGCCAGATGGGCAGAGGATCAAAGTCTGGACCGATCGGAGATCGACCGGGATTTGCGATTGGATCATCTGGTCTGGGGAGGCGATTGCCTCCGCAATAGCCACCAAGAACGTGATGACTTGCATCGTTTTCCCCAAACCCATGGTGTGCGCAAGCAGACAGCCCTGGCGAACTGTAGGGTCCTGAATAATTTGGTTCCAAAGAAACCGAACGCCGTCTATTTGATGATCCTTGATTCTCGAGCCGATGTCGTCGTTGATGTAAATGAATGATTGATTTTCATCCTTGGTTTCGTTGATGATCAGCCTGGATTTATCGCGCGACATTATCCCAGACGTCGCCAGGTCACTTCGTAACTTTGCACGGCGTTCCTGTTGCACTTGTAGCATCTCGTTTTGACGTTCTCTCATTTCAACGGCTGCTCTGTTCTGCACGATCTCCTTTGCGCTGGATTTCTTCTTCGGAGTCCCAGTCACCTCGGCCTCGGCCTCGGCCTCTTTATCCATCTCGGGTCTTCGGTATATCTGAGTATCTTTGGGAAACAGATGCAAGACGGATCGAATGAACTTGCAAAACGGCTCAAACGTGGTGCGTGACTTAAGAAGAGTCTCTTTGTCCCTTTTATGAAGTTGTAAAACTCGGCTGCGGCTTAAAATTTTGCATTTGACGAAACTTAGGAAGACGCTGGAAAGATGGTAGTTGCGTAGGTCTAGAGGCAAATTCTCTAGTACCTCCCAAGTCTTGGTGTTCGTTGAGAATGGCACAATTGACGTATCCCAGATATCTTCGTCAGATTTGTCCCTGATGAGGTCCAGAACCTGAGTGCGTTGTTCATGGCCGAGATTTAGAAGGATGTGAAGAGCAAGCCTCCATCGATCATCCTCGGTGCGCCAGTGAGACTTAGAATATCTTGCAATGGCTGCCATATCAATCACTTGGACCGAGGGAGGGTCTGGGAGCTCAACGCCAGGCTTGAGGCTGGCTTGAGGCGGGGTAGAGGGCCTTGCAGGACTGGTCAAGTCAATATAGGACACGTGCTTGGCTGTGCCTTCTGTCTCAAGCTGCATGCGATCACCCACACGAGATTCTTCCGATTTGATTGGTGTCACCGGCTCCTCGGGGTTGGGTGCTTGGCCGTCTGTACCTGATACGCCATCAACTTCCTCGCCGCCTGACACGACGAAATCGCTCTCCTCATCAGTGCTGGTTAAGAGTTCCTCCATTGGATCATGTTTCTGTGATCTCTGGCGTCGCGCTGGCCGAGGAAGCACATCAGGAGGAGGCGGTGCCTCGCTTGACTCTAGCACTCCAGCTAACCATAAGTTGTATAATTTGTCCTCCAAACTCTGCTCGAGACACTGAGCCTGGCTGACGATATCCTCCTTTTTGAACCAGACTTCCGTGACTATTTCCATCGACAACTTTTTTATGCGTTTGTCGTAGTATGCTGCCTGTTTCTGATGCTTTTCAATACGTTCGCGGAGACTGTTATGACGCTTTCTAGCATCTACCCAGAGTTTATAAGCTTTGCGCTGATATTTGATTAGTTTAGTTTCCCGCCATCTCTGAGTCATTCCCTCGATAGTGTCGTCGAGGATAGCTTGGACTTCATGGGTTAGGATTTGACGGTGGATTTTCTTGGCTTCCTCATTGCTCTTCTCTTCATCTTCGATTTCTTTCAATGTTGCCTCATCCAAATCAGGAAGGTTCTCAAGATCAAAAATGTCTTCTTCATCTTCATCCGAGGGTGAAGAATCTCTGGAAGTCAGAGTCCCTGTTCTCAGCCGCTCCTCCTTTCGTCCGTTTTTCCGCAAGAGCTGGTTCATAGTGCGATTCACAGCCAGTCTTCGCCCGGGAGGCAGACGATTTTTCCGGGTAACTGCAAATCCGCCTTTGGGTAGCATCACCAATCTTGTGCTCACAGGGACGAAAGAGGATCTAATCATGTAGGCTGAAAGGGCACCGTTCCCAAGATATGCACGACCTGAACTGCTCTCCCATGGATGGAGTTTCGAACGAACTTTATGTAACGGTTCTCGCGCAATGTTTGTGGGCGCTAGTTTCTTCTTCTTTCGCGGCGGCTCTAAGGCGTCCTGAGCGTCCGATGTCTGGGAGAGGGGGAAAGATGTAGCATCCTGTAACTGGGTGTTTTCATTTCCAACACCCTCTCCAAAAGACTGGTAATGTTGTACATGGGTAGCTGCATCTGCCTGCGTCGGAGGAGCTTCCATAGGAGCAATATTTTGATGTCCGACTTGAGGTGTTGTGACAATAGAATTCGCTACTTGCGCATTGGAAGTCTCTGCGACGACAAAATCAGTCTGCAGTGAGGGACTACCCGAGAGAGCTGCATCTGCTATTGGCAACTCTGGCAAGTCGATGTCGTTTGATCGCGGAGTAAGCTGGTTGTGAGTAGGTGTCGGTAGGGCGACTGTGCAATTTTCTGAGAGGAAAGGCACCATATCTGAAGAAAATTCTGGCTTATGTTTGATGAGCGGTACGGATTGCAGGGTCTTGAAGCTGTATTTGGGCGTGAGCTCCGGAGAACTGGCGTGCCCTTCTCCAAGCGTTTTCTGTTTCTTGAAATCGTACGTCCATTTCCTGTACTTTTGGCTCTCGGCACGAAGGCCGACTAGTTGTTGCTCAAGCCATACTTTTTGACGGGCTCTCCGAACATCAAGGTACGGATAGAGCTCCTCTCGCGGGCATGTTTGCTCAAATGTTAGCAGCGTATGGCCGTCAAAGCCCTCTTCCCTGATTCTCTCGGCGATGGAGTCAGGCTGTGTCTCCCAAGGGCTGCCGGGCTGCGTCAAATGTTTGATAACCTGATTGACGTCCCAATCAAATGGGTCGTTTCCGGTGTCCATCAGTTTGGACGCACCAAACCAGGCGACCTGGCTTAACTGGGGGCTTTGTTAGCACTTGTAGAATGGATCGCGGTTGGAGAAGAAGATGCAGAAGAGAGAAGAGAGAAGAATATGCGTTGGCAACGGTATTGGCATGTTGTACGACGCGGTGTTGGCGTAAAATGTATTTAATACGCTTTTGGTGACTTACGATATTTTTGGCATCCGTTCACCACAGACGTAAGTGCTCAGCCAGCGGAAGTGTGCAGAAGAAGCCGGCAGCAATGCGTCCCAACTACCAGTTGTATCGCAAGCCAAATAAAAACGGGGATGGTAAAGTACCAAGGGTGGAACAATCTACCGGCCTAAGTCATCAAAGAGAGTGGGGTGGTGGATAGGCGCGGATGTAGATGAGGTGGTATCGTAGAAGTTGGAACTTTGCAAGAAGAAACGAGTGGCTGAGACCAGGTTCTGGTCGATAAACAAATTCATCATTTGGGCGGCAGTAAGGCAGGTAACCGCACCGGCTGCCTGTGAGGGGCAACGCGGCGCTGTTCGCCTGCATATTTTGGCAACGGGAAGGCACGCGCGTTCACGTGACCCGAAAGTTTTGGAAAGTTGCCCTGCAGGAAAGCGAAACTTGGGCGACCAAAGCTTTCAGGGCATACATCTGCTTTGAACTTCTATTACGCGAGTTCCTTCGCCTAGTGCATGTTTTCTCCTGGGTTTGCACTCAGCTTCCAGACCAGAGGCTGGGAGTAGCACGCAGGCGAATGGCAGCCGTTTCTCTCCGTCCTACCCACATTCTTTAGCTTGTGGCACGAACTTCCAATTTAGCTCGCCTATGTCTCATCCATCCCATGGCCCGATACGGAAGGGTGCAGTTTTTCAAATCTATTTGAACGCTTTTTGGCCCGAAGAAAAGATCCGAGTGGAGAGAAGTAACCCAAACGGACGGGACCACACAGATATTCCATTAATAAGCCTCAGTATTAGCACGCTACCATTTCCATCTCCATCTGCATGCTTCAATCCCATTGCGTGACTTTCTGTAAACTATTCGTATTTCTAAGCCATCATTTCATTGGCCAGCCCTTATAATCCGAGACTTCAGACAACCGTCCAATTGCCTCTGATACGTAGAAGGACGTACCCAGCTTTCCCAGTGTGAGCGAGCCTTGGCCAAATACATCATCGTATCTTGTAAGGAGAGACAAGGCAAGGTTTAGCGACATGGCCTCTGCGACGAGCGGGGCGTATCCCCCGGCCCTGGAAAGCCACGAGCAGGAGCACATTATCGAGATCATCAAGGATTGGACAATTGGCAACGGCCTCGCCCTGCGTCCACCGCCTGCGGTTATCTCTACAGAGGCTGACCCCAGAGGCATCTCGGCCGTCAGCGCGCCCGTCACCATCTTCCCAAGCCCGTTTCCCAAGGTCTGCTTTGATCAGGCCAAGTTGGTGCAGACGGCCTACAATGAGCTGTATGCGGCCGTCAGCCGTGACGAGGAGTTCCTGAAAAAGGCTGTGGATGAGTATGCCATTTCCAACCAGCCGGTATGAGGGTCGATGAGTTGAATCCATTCTAAACATTTCTTTCGAGAATAGGGTTATTGATGGCGATGAGTTCATTGGGAACCTCTGGAACATTCACCTCAAAGTCAAGGCCGAGGGATACACTCAGGTGAGTGCCTGGCCTCCCTTCGCTTGACTTGTCCGAATGAAAGAAAATGAAGAATAATAATGGTCAATAAAGTCTACCTCTCTTGGCCTGTTCCGGTCCGACTATATGGTTCACCAAGACTCATCAGCCAACCCACCAATTCTTCAGGCGAAGCAAGTTGAGTTTAACACAATTGCTGCGTCGTTCGGCGGACTCTCACACTACACATCCGCTCTGCACAAGTAAGTTGACTGTGAAAATCCCGTCGACTTGTGACTGTTGCTGAGAACACGCAACTCCAGGTATCTAGCCTCCACGGAGTACCCCCTACTGAACCAAGCCATCCAAGCTGGCTCACTGGATTTACCAGCCAACCCCTCAACGGAGGGTCTGGCCTCCGGTATCACAGCGGCCTATCACGCATATGGCGAGCCTACTCTAGGTCACCCCAAATGCGTCATCTTCCTTATCCAGAAAGGCGAGCGCAACGTCTTTGACCAGCGACATCTGGAGTATCAAGTCGTCAAAGATTCACCATCCACCCCGGTGTTCAGACTTGCATTCTCCGAGATATTTGAATACACATCACTCGCAGATACCGAGAAACGGCAACTCCTCTACCGCCCCCCTCAAAACCCCTCCAGAGTGTACGAAGTGGCGGTCGTCTACATCCGGTCAGGCTACGGACCAGACGACTACCCCGACCAGCGAGCCTGGGACGCCCGGTACCACCTGGAGCGCTCAAACGCGATCAAGTGCCCCACGGTTCTGACCCAGGTGGCTGGAATCAAGAAAGTCCAGCAGATCCTCGCCACGCCGCGGCCGTCCACCGAGCCTTCAATCCTGGGGAAGTTCATCAACGACGGCACGAGGGAGGCGCAGGGGCTCTGGAAGACATTCACCAACATCTACCCCATGGACACCTCGGATGCCGGCCTGGAGGCGAGAAAGAAGGCCCTGGACCCGGAGCTCTGCAAAGCCTACGTGCTCAAGCCCCAGAGAGAAGGCGGAGGCAACAACATCTACCGCACCGCCATCCCGGAGTTCCTCAAAACCATCCCCGAGGCGCACTGGAATTCGTACATTCTCATGGAGCTCATTACGCCGCCCCCAGTGTCGAACATCATCCTCCGCAACGGCCAGATCGAAAAGGGTGGTGTTATCTGCGAGCTTGGTGTTTTCGGATCCTGCGTCTGGGATCAAAAGACTGGGGAGGTCAAGCACAACAAGGAGCACGGCTACCTGCTTCGAACCAAGGGTGATCAGAGCGAGGAGGGCGGGGTGGCTGCTGGATATGGCTGCATGGATAGCGTCTCCCTCATTTAGGTCGTCTCCTTCAACTAGGACAAGACAAGGGTGTGCGTTTTTCTGTTTAGAGGGCTATAGAATACAGATAACAGAAAACTGTCACTCAGATTCACATGCCCTCTTGGTGTAGTAACATGTTTGTGTCGGTAAAGTTCTATGACTAGATGCGAGCCTGATTAAGGGTGCTAGTCAATGATACTTAAAGTTGGTAAATATCCTACACTGCGCCACTACCGCGTCGGGAACTTTCCTGCATGAAAGTTAATAACGTGCGCTGTTATAATCCTACACCCATGAAAGGCATCCAATGCCTCGAGGATGATACTTCTTATATGCAAGACCTGCGGCTAGCACGTGCACAAATATGAACATCTTGGTACATCATACATAGCAAGTGGCATTATGGTATCGAGTTACAAAGGTCCTAGTCTCAACAAGTACATCGTCACACACAAACCCCAGTGTGCCGTCAGCTCGGAAGGTACATTAACAAAAGAACCAAAAATTCATGATAGGAGTGTCTGGTCATACACAGCCTGCGTCAAGGCTGTGGTTGCCAAGGGATAGAGGGCTGAATTGGGACATGGCCCCTCCACCTTGATTAATCCAAGGATTGATAAAAACTTAGTGTTGCTCCTCAGACTCGGCGGCAGCAGGGGCAGCAGGGCGCTTGAGAACCTCAATGGTGCCTATATATCAATGGTTAGTTGTCTGTGAAATTGATTGATCTAGTGGACCGTCGTCTGCCCCTCTCGAATGGGCAGGGCGAGGCATGGCACGTACGCTGAACAATGTTGAGGGAGGAGCGGTTCTTGCCGTCGGCATCTTGGTAGACGTTCACGGAGGCATCGCCCTCAACGTAAACCATGGCTCTGGACGCGAAAATGTTAATGCGATTCTTGTTGCGACAGCTCTAGAGCACAACGTACCCGCGGGGAAGGCTGAGCATGAAGTCACGGCGGGGTCCCTCAGCAAAGGTAGCGACGCGGAACCAGCTGGTCTGGCGGTTCTCCTTGGGGCCGCTGTTGCTGGCGACAGCATATCGGACGATTTCGCGGCCGGAGGAGGTCTGGTAGAGCTCAGGGGTGTCGGCGAGGTTGCCGATGATGGAGATCTTAGCAATGGATCGGGGCGAGGTGGTGCTGAAGGCGCGGGCGGTGGAGGCCGATGCGACGGCAGCACGACGGAAGAGGAAAGAAGACATGTTTATAAATTTGCTTGGGCCTCACTGGGAGAGCGCGAGTCGGTTGGCTGGATTGGGGTCTGGGAGGACTGTAGATGGCGGATTGGATGATGGTGGGAGGGAGGGAAGGGCACCTGCAGCTGTGCGATGAGGTAGGGTGGGAGATAAATGCTGCCGCGTTTTTAGTTGGGGACACGCGCCTAACCTCTTCTACCGCTTTAAAGACCTAAGGTACAACGGCGTTGTGATTGGCTGCGTGCTGCTGAAACCCCCCACGGACCATCAACTGCCCGCTTTTGCATGTCTGACCGTTTAATGCATTGATCAGCATGAACCCCCTTCCCTTGCTTTCCCTTCTTAGCTCTCCAGCCCTGGAATTAGGTGCCGAAGCATGAATAATTTCCTTCATCTGTGGTGTCCGTGTTTTAGACTAAAGAAATCTGCCGAGCCATCGGTGTAAGGGACCATAAATGCGCATCAGCCACACCGTTGAGTCTCATCGTTCGTTGTGGCCCCGTCCAGATAGTTGTTCCTCTAGATACCACCTCTCCATACAGAGGAAACAATAATTACCTATTTGCCTAATAGTTCTCACATATCCGTCCGCTCTACCTTACCAAGGTAGGTGACATAAGAGATGAGACTCCAAACCAGTGCTTCAAGCGCCCAGAACAGGCGAGACTCTATGTTTAATTTGCTGCAACTTGGGCCCAAATTATCCTTAAAATCCCAGAAGAAAAAAAATACATAATATAATTCTAAAGCTAAAGGAATGAAGAATATATTTTTGAGGGCTTATTATATTTCTTGTATGGTATTGAACAGCTAAAAAGAAAGGCGTAAGAATTTGGTATCTCATCTCTAGTG